ACGGCTTTTGTAACAAATAAAAATACATGAAAAAAATTCTCACAAACAGCTATGAAATTTATCAGAGATGCAATAAGGGACTCAAAAAATAAGCAGCAGATTTAAAAAGAAAAGCAAAGCTTTTTTATACTAATCTTTGGATTTAGAAAAACATAATTCAAAACTTCTATTCCCTAAATGTGTTTAAAAACGTTTAACTGTGTCATAACACAATGTTCAATTGCAAATTTAGCAAATTTTACGGAATAACAACTATGAAAAGCCAAAATCCTAAAAGCAGGTTTGTTCTGATTCAGAGCCGGAGTAACGAAGGAGGGGGCCGTTTCCCCTGACAACGGCAGCAAGATAGAGATGTGCACACACACACGCAGAAAGTAGTGTTTTAGCAAAAATGCAAAAACAGAAAGAAGAAGAACTTTCAAGATTACTTTTTAAAGCGAATATAACTGATGTCGTAGTTTATACTTTTGTCATCCAAGTCTAGAAATGGCCACTTTCCACACTAATAACAAAAGGCAATCTTAGTGTTTAACATTTCCCTTTTTATTATTACTTTTAATTTTACACCATGGTTTCACTAACTATTTTCTATTCTCTATTCTCTGCCCCGGCTACTTCAAAGGACAGGGACCCCGATACATCCAGGGGTTCCTTTTTCTCTCTGTCCTGACTTCTTCAAAGGACAGGGACCCCGATACGTCAGGGGTTCCTTTTTTCTTTAATCTTATCTATAGATATTAGACATTTGGCAGACCTCAAAACAGACCATAATTTAGTTCACTCAATTAGCAGACTTTGAATAAACAGGTGTTTTCTCTTACCTTTTGTTGAACAGGGCGCCAGGCACCGTCAGAAGTCCACCAAATATCAGCTTTTCCACGTCCAACCGGGTCTCCAGATCATGAACCAGCGCTCACTAGTACCGGGAATTAGTTTCCATCAGCAGAGACCAATCACATGTCAAAAATCCCCGGAATGTGGACATGGGAAAACAATTTTAAACGCTTAGTCAAAAAAACAGGACACAAAAAAATATAGTGAGAGAGCGAAAAAGAGTCCCGGAGCCGGTCGCCTCTCCAGCCTGCTGGACTGCTCCCAGGCCCCAGACACTCTCAGCTCTCCCACGCCAAGAAAAAGAAAACAAGGGAAACTCCCTCAAAACAATCCAGAGAATGGTGCACACTGAGCCGCACATCCTCCACCAAATCTGTCAGGGATGAAGCAGACAGAGACGGATCGTGGTGCGCCAAACTCTGGAAGTTTATTTAAGTTTCTCTCAAGTTCCAGTGGTTTCCATTGTTTCTTTCTCCCAGACAGAATAAAGGCAGTACACAGTTTATATAGTCATTGTCACGTCACACATCGAAAGACATACGTGTCACAAAGAGACAGTCACATCATAGTCAAAATAATCAGAGTCCTTGTACAGTCCTGCACGTAGGCCATATTGCTATCTAATACTAACAGTCTTTCTCAGTACAGAAAGGGCGGAGTGACATGTTTGTGCTAGAGGTTACTAATATTAGCATGGATGAATCTAAAAACAACCCCATGTTTGCTTTATGTAGATTTGTATTTTCCACCTGCTTTAAGAGACCCTTTTATCTTCACACTTACAATGATGTGTGTGATGTCGCCGTCCATAAACGCAGCTCCGGACTCTACAAATACCATTGTTTTGGGGAAAATTTAGAATTATGATTCAGTTTCAGATTCAGTGCATTTTGTTTCAACAGCAAACATGACACCAGCCCCTTTGAGTGTCGTTAATCACCTTTAATGACCTGAGCCTTGGATCCTGTGGTGAAATCCTTTATCGTCAAACAATTTTATACATTCAACAAACCCCCACAGAACAAAACAACTGAACATGCGATGAATGAGACTGGAAACATACACAACTGAAAGTACTGAACAAACCAAGATAGAAACCTTAAAATCCCACAAGGCATTCAAATAATACATTATCACAGTACATTAAAAAGAATGACACAATCCTTCAGTTGTTTTAACCTGGGTTTGAACAGGGTCAGAGTAGAAGCCTGTCTCACATTTTCAGGAAGACTGTTTCAGGAAAATTGTAAACACTGCAGGCACCAGGTATGTTTTCGAGTCCCTCCAGATTGAACAAAAGGAGACCAGGCTTTTTATATGATTTGTGCCAATGTGCGTAAGAACAGAATATGTCATCGATAAAGACATAAATAACTCGACTGGTTAAGATTTAGAAACTGTAGTAACAACGTTGGCACAAAACAAAGACGTACAGTTCTTCAGATTAATAATGTTTAGCAGTGACAGATATAAAAGGTGACAGTAGTTCAGTTAGTAGGGCGTTGGCCTTTGAGCCAGAAGGTCGTAGGTTTGAGCCCACCTCAAGACTTTCACCATCGACTCCCACTGATGTCTGCTGTCAGTGACCTTGTTGTGTCCTTGGAAAGACACTTAACCTCTGGGAACACCAGGTGCCACAGTGGGGCAGCTGCGGCTGTATAGTGCCAAACAGCTGTTGTGTCCTTAGGCAAGACACTTCACCCCCATTG